GCCTAGCTGTGTGGGGACTCAGGACTCCTGGCATCGGCTCCCCTGTGGAGCCCTCCTGCTTGGGTTTTTGTTTTCGTTTTTTTGTTTTGTTTTGTTTTTTTAAAAATTTTTCTTGAGATAGCGTCTCACTCTTGTCACCTAGGCTGAAGTTCAGTGGCACGATCTGAGCTCACTGCAACCTCTGCCTCCCAGGTTCAAGTGATTCTCCTGCCTCAGCGTCTCGAGTTGCTGGGATTACAGGCATGCACCACCACACCTGGCTAATTTTTTTTTTGCAATTTTAGTAGAGACGGGGTTTTACTATGTTGGCCATGCTGGTCTCGAACCCCTGACCTCTAGTGATCCGCCCACCTTGGCCTCCCAAAGTGCTGGGATTGCAGGCGAGCCACCACGCCGGCCCTAGTTGGGTTCTGTGGTGCGTGCTGCTGCCTTGGCCTCCCAAAATGCTGGGATTGCAGGCGTGAGCCTCCGTGCCGGCCCTGGTTGGGTTCTGTGCTGCTGTCATGGTGGTTTCTGTCACCTGCGCTTGAGCTGACCCTTGAGCTCCTCACATCCAGCATGGCAGAACTGAGTTCGTGTTTTCCCAAGCCTGGCTCCCTCCCTGGTGTTCCCGTTTTAGGGTGTGCGCCACCATCAACCCAGTTGTTTGGGTTGGAAATTTGCCATTGCTCTCTCCTCCCTTCTCTTCCCATGAGTCTGCCATCTCTCTCCAGACCAGTTACCTGTTGTCACTGTCACCCTGGTTTCCTCCCTCAGGCTGCCTGGTGCTTTGTGCTCACGCCGGAGGGCTACTCCCTACCACGGTCCCATTTCCTGCCCAGCCCTGGTCCCAGTGTGCGTTGTAGGTCCTTCTGTCTGCCCCCTTCACTGGGTGGTAAGATGCACAGGGCATGGACCTGGGCCCTTGTCTACCCCCGCGCACCGCCTGCAGGGCCAGTGCGGGACCAGGCGTCAGAGCTGCCAAGCGGGTGTGTGAGGGGCTTTGCTGTGCTGCGCTCACCCTGCCCCTCACTTTGCTTATGCCCCTCGGTTGCCCCCCACGTCTCTTTGAGAGCATTCGCTATGATTGTGAATGAAGAATGAACTGGAGTGGCTGTCTCTGGTCAGCTCTGGTGGGCGGTGTCACTCTAAACGGGGATGGCGAGCAAGTGCAGAAGGCCCTGCCTGGGACGTGGACTTGAATGGCCACTCTGTGTAGCTCAGTAAACGGACCGAGAAAAACCTGCTTCTGCCCACCTGTCTGGAGTTGAGACAGTTGATCGTGAGGGCGGGAATATGTCCATGTGCCATTTGGATTGAATGCTTGATGCTTCTTCCTCCACGGGCAGCACTCAGGAGGCCTTGAAGAGCGGGCACTTTGTCAATGTCCTCAGCATCCTCGTGCGGCTGCAGCGCATCTGCAATCACCCTGGGCTCGTCGAGCCCCGGCACCCAGGCTCTTCCTATGTGGCGGGGCCCCTGGAATATCCGTCCGCATCTCTAATCCTGAAGGCACTGGAGAGAGATTTCTGGAGGGTAAGTGGAGGATCCAGAAAGCGGAATCACTGTTGGATGTCTTTTCCAGGCACATTATAGATAAAACCATTCTTGGAAATGGTTCTTAACCAGCTCTTCTTCTGCAGTTGCAATTGTAGCTCTGCGATACATGGCACTGTCTAGCGGCACTGATGGCTTGCCACCCCTTGCTGGAGCGTTCCACCTCCGGAAGTTTACCCGAGGGAGGCAGGCCCACAGAGTGCAGAGGTGCAGAGGGCAGAGATTCACAGAGTGCAGAGGTGCAGAGGGCAGAGGTTCACAGAGGGCAGAGATTCACAGAGTGCAGAGGTGCAGAGGGCAGAGATTCACAGAGTGCAGAGGTGCAGAGGGCAGAGGTTCACAGAGTTCACAGAGTGCAGAGGTGCAGAGGGCAGAGACTCACAGAGTACAGAGATGCACAGAGTGCAGAGATGCACAGAGTGCAGAGGTGCAGAGGGCAGAGATTCACAGAGTGCAGAGATGCACAGAGTGCAGAGATTCACAGAGTGCAGAGGTTCACAGAGTACAGAGATTCACAGAGTGCAGAGATGCACAGAGGGCAGAGGTGCGGAGGGCAGGCTTTCTTGGCGTTGTGTGGATTGTGGCCTGGGAGAAGTAGCTGAGCACACACGGTGCATCTGCAGAACTTCACCAAGGGCATGACAGCACCTGTGTATTGGTGTGGAGGAGGGTCTGCTTGCCGAGTGGCCATTAGAGGGGGCGCATCTGGATGCCCACGTTAGGGCCCTGCCATAGAAATCAGTTTTATTCTTAGGTGCTTTTTATGCCACTTCATGCAGCAAGACTTTTTTTCTTTTTTTTCTAGGAAACAGATCTTTCTATGTTTGATCTCATCGGCTTAGAAAATAAAATCACTCGTCACGAGGCAGAATTGCTGTCTAAGAAGAAGATACCCCGGAAACTCATGGAGGAAATCTCCATTTCAGCAGCCCCAGCAGCCCGACCAGCAGCAGCAAAGCTGAAGGCCAGCAGGTGCGTGCGACCCAGAGGCAGCAGGGAGGGTCGGCTCCCAGGGTCCCCGCAGCTGACCCAGGTCTACGCGTGGTGAAAGAAAGGCTGCTAATGTACTTGGGTTATCTGCTGCTCTTGGGACCTTGCTGATGTCCTTGGCTGTGGTACGTGTGTGGCTGTGCAGATGCCTTTTAGGCTGTGTGGTGCAGTGCAACTACTTGTCTCCCTGAGCAGCAACCTCCTTGATCGTCTTCGTGGCAGTTTTAGGGTAGGGTGGGTGTCAGGGCTGCCTTTAACCTGGTACCTCCTGTGGTGGAGGCTGGTGTGGCCGGACCACACGTGTCGTGAGTGTGGCAGGCAGAGGGCTCCACCCCCACCGTGATGTCATTGTCTTACAAGTGACATGTGAATGATTCTGAAGTGATGCTTTTGCCAGTGTCGTGAGGCTGGGAGGGACAGACACGTTAGATGATTAAAACAAGATATAAATGACTCGTAGTCTAAATCTAGCAATTGGAAGTATCCAAAATCCTATGCTTAGGTTAAAAAGGAAAGGAAAGGAGAGAGGCGTTTGGAGATGAAGGGGCCGGTTCTGCAGACAGGTCTTTCTTGTTGGCACTTCTGTACTTGGCTTCACGGGGACTTTGAGTGGATCACCCTCCCCTCGTCAGTGCCAGAGGTTTCTGCTTAGCTTGAGGGGCCACGGCCCAGCAGGCTGCTCCTCAGGGAGCCTGCAGCCCTCAGTTAAATGAACAGCACCCATTCTAGTGGGTGCTAGTCTGTGTTTTTAAAATGGCTTTTTACAAAAACGTTTATAAAAGTTTTTAATAGAGACAGGGGTCTCACTCTGTTGCCGGTCTGGTCTTGAACTCTTGGGCTCAAGGAATCCTCCTGCCTCAGTCCCCCAAAGTGCTAGAATTACAGGTGTGAGACCACACGCCCGGCCTAAAAATGACTTTTGATGGCCATCTCTGCCTGTTACGTTGTATAGGGGTTTTGAAAATGGCCAGTATAGTTCCCAGCTTAAAGTGGTCACCGTGGCTCATGCCTGTAATCCCAATGCTTTGGGAAGCCAAGGTGGCAGGATCTCTTGAGCCTAGGAGTTGGAGACCAGCCTGGGCAACATAGTGAGACCCTATCTCTCCAAAAAAAAATAATACAATCCAGGCGTGGTGGTGCACACCCATATTCCTAGCTACTTAGAGACTGAGGCAAGAGGATTGCTTGAAGCCAGGAGTTTGAGGCAACAGTGAACCATCACTTGTACGGCCACTTGATCAGACTTTTGTCAAGTTGATGTTTCTCCTCACTCCCCTTAGCCCTTGTGCTATAATAGATGTGTTGTTTTCTAATCTACATTGATACGATTGTGAAAGTTAAAACAGCTTTCATCCTTGTATTCCCAGGAATCTGGGCAGATGTAACATACCACTTTGGTGTACTTAAGTCTTGTTAGCCACTGCTACCGGGCTCGGGGGGAGCTTACCTAGGGCAGTACTTAGGCGTCTTTCCCTTCCCTCTGTAAACTGCACTCTGGGTGCTGGCCCCTGAGCTGGCTTCCTGTGGGCAGCGGTGAACCCCGGCTCCTTGAGGTGGCCTGTTCTCTCTGTGGTCTGATGCTCTGTGTCTTCTTGCCTGGACCAACGGGCATCTAGGTTGTTTCAGCCTGTGCAGTACGGCCAGAAGCCCGAGGGTCGCACCGTGGCTTTCCCCAGCACTCACCCGCCCCGGACGGCAGCCCCCACCACAGCCTCTGCTGCTCCACAGGGCCCGCTTCGAGGACGGCCGCCCATCGCCACATTCTCTGCCAATCCGGAGGCAAAAGGTAGACTTCACGTAGTTGTCTGCTCTCCGCCTTGTGGAGGTTTTTGTGGGACAAGTTCATGGCACTTTCTTCTTGCGCCTCTGGACGCGGTAATCGTCCCCAAGTGGGAATAGGCACCACCTGCTGGCTCTCTGAAGGTGCCATGTTGAGTTCTTGATGAGTTTTAGACTTTTTGATGGCTGGTAATGGATGTTTTCCCTATTGAAGAAATTTCACTCCTAGGTTAATAAGTGTTGATCTGATACTGACAGCCACTAGGCAGGCTGTTTCTGTTGACAAGAGGCGATGCGTGCAGTCGTCTAGGAGACTCCTGAGAACGTCTGCTCATATTGTATTTTGTGCTGTCACTTGAACTTGATTATTCTTTTGAGGAAGGATAGAGTAGAAAAGGTCATCAAAATAGTTAAAAGTAGTATTTCACCACGTGGCCAAAGGGGCCCTCCACACATCGGGTTTTCTGAGCTAAAAATAAATGCGGAGACCTGCATTGTTGCCAGCGTTCTCTATAGAAATATGAGTGGAAGCTCTGTTGATGTTTGTTTGTGTGTTTAGGAAATAGTTTCTAATTGATACTAATGTTTGGTTGGGCTGACTTCTAACAGTTTCTGTTTACTCTGAGAAATGTACCGCGTAGAGTACTGTAGCTCAAAGTGAAGATAATTAACAACATGTAAAATTACGTTTCTCTCACTCTGTAAACTATATGGCCCCTCCTTTTTTTTTTCCTTAAGAGGGGGCTTCTCATTTGAGAGACAGTGTGAAATGTTTATTTTATTTCTTTAAAATTCGGTTTAAAATAATGTATTTTATTAAGAACCTCTAACAGCTTTGCACAAACAAACCTTATCGATTGCAGCAGCAGCAGCCCCGTTTCAGACCTCTCAGGCTTCCGCCAGTGCTCCACGACACCAGCCCGCCTCGGCCTCCAGCACAGCCGCTAGCCCGGCCCATCCTGCGAAACTGCGGGCCCAGACCACAGCACAGGCCTCCACCCCAGGCCAGCCCCCGCCCCAGCCCCAGGCCCCCTCGCACGCGGCCGGGCAGAGCGCGCTGCCTCAGAGGCTGGTGCTCACCTCGCAGGCCCAGGCCCGCTTGCCTAGTAAGTGGCCTCACCTTTCCAGGTTTCTGCCATCTCTCTACCCCAGAGGAGTTGTGTTAAGAACACGGGGATGTAGGAGGAGCCTTGCTGTCCACTCCTGTGTCTTTCCCCGGCCCCATGCCCAGCGCTGCCTCTCACCAGTGCAGCCACCTCCGGCATGAGTCTAGCAGGGAGCGCCTCTGCGGAGGCCGCGTCCGGCCTTCTCCTGTCTGTGCTCTCTCTCCTGACCCCGCCATCCAGCTCTGCTTTCCTGCTGCGCTCACTCACTGCTTTGGTGCTGTTGTCGGCACTTCCCAGTGTTAGCCCCGGCCTTGTTCCACCAGCCACACAGGTGCACTCTGGGGGAGCAGATGCTCCTAGAGTGACAGCGACTGCTTTTGTTAAGGTCGCTTCCTTGCCAGTTATGTGAACAAGCTTTAGGTTCCTAAAAAACATTAGCTCTTTTTAATCTCTCGCCTGTTACCAAACTTAA